TTGCATAGCCCACCTTGTCAGGCGCAGGGCCAGACGTGCGTTGATCTGCTCACTTCAGGTCGACCCCTGGCAAGCTACCAGACTCGCCAAAGCGCGGGTGCCCCCACCCTCCAGGAAGGCCGTCGCCCTGAGGGACTCCTCTCATGATTGTGAGCAGGTCGGGAACAGGTGGCGTTGTAGAGTATGCTGTCAGATTGTGGCCTCCACCCAGCTTCTCAAGTTTTGTGCCCAGTCTTGTCCAGGTCTGGCCCCCGAGGTCCGAGGCCATAAGTCGGAGTGGAGCCAGTTTGTCTTGAGAACTGGAGAGATTTTGATAGGGGCCACCTCGGCCCACTCGTCCCACAAAATCTTCTACTGGCCTGACTTTTCCTTGCATTTTTGTGTTTGTTGCGGGCTCACCGCCACTGTGGATGGTAGGTGGCTCGCAAGACCTTGCCTGGAGCCCTCCCCCAAAGGAGCCCAGAACCTCGACAGAATCCGTCGAGGCATTTTTCCCTCGCACAGGGGACCCCCGAAGGCTGTGCTGCTGGCCAGAGAGCGGCGTGAAGCTTCGGTTGCGGTCCAGCGTGCGAGGGAGGCTCTGGAGGAGGGTAGTATTCTGCCTCACGGTGAAGGGGGTGTGGGCGGTGCGGCCCGTCGACCCACCAGGATCCCTCACCGTGATGGCGGGGACTCATCTTCGGATTAGTCCCCGCCCAACCCGTTTAGTTTTGTGGACGCTTGTCCTTTCATGGTCACTTCTGGTCACTCCTCCCTCCCCTCTCCTCCCTCCTCCCTCCTCTCCCCTCCTCCCTCCGCCCTCCGCCCTCCTCCCTCCTCTTCCCTCCTCCCTGCGCGGTCGGTCCGAGGTGTGAGATCGAGGTCGGTTCGGGGAGGGCACCCCGACGTTCTTCGAGTCTGGTGGGCGTTCTTGTGCACCCTGGGGGCGAGTCGCCTCGACTACTCTGCATGTTGGCCAGCGGAGGGTCTCATGTTCTTGAGGGCGGCTCTTCTGTCCTAGGTCAAACAGCGGCGAAGCGTCCTGGCTCGTTTCTAGGCCCACCAAAGAATGTTCTAAGGAACCGTTTGTGGTTTGCACGACATGTTCTTAGAAACTGTCTGGCTGGGATTGTTTTGTTTTAGCACATCGGGCTTATGTTCTAAGAGCATCGTTTGTGTTCTCAGAACATTTCCGGGTTCTAAGGACATGTCGTGGTTGGCCTACAGGAGCGCCGGGACGGTCGGTCCCTGCTCAACTAAGTCCTCGAAGGAGGAAACACGGCATAGGCAAGCATAAACGCTTGGAGGCCCGATCGGATTTCGTGGATCCGCGTTGGGCCCCCCGGCGGCGCCTCCGGCGCCGCCCCTGGCGCGGCCTCGGGGAATCCGCGCGGACGTATCACTAATAGTTTATGCATATGCCGCTGCTTTTTCCTCTGTCCTCGTCGCCCCTTCCTCCTCTCCCTCCTCCCTCCTCTCCCTCGCCCTGTCCTCGCCGACGCCGCAGGTGCGCTGCGCTGGGCGGAAGGGCGGCTTCAAGCGGAAGAGGAAGGGCATGAGGCCCAGGACGGTGCACCAGAAGGGCCTGGGGAAGCGCATGGAGATGCGCGGGCCTCTGGCGGGGGGGGGAGGGAAGGAGGGCGGAACGCTGCCGGCAGCAAGGAGGGGGGCAGGGGAGGTAAGAGGTTGGGGGGGGGCTGGAAGGCGAAGGACGGATGGCAGGAAGAGGAGGCTGAGGAGGAGGAGGAGGAGGAGGAGGAGGAAGAGGAGGAGGAGGAGGAGGAGGAGGAGGAGGCAGAGGAGGAACGTGGCCAGAGGTTGGCGTTCAGAGGAGGACAGGAAGCTGACCGTCTCGATGTGTTGGTGCCGCCACGGTCTCAGGAAAGAGACGCAGGAGTAGGAAGAGCAGGAGGGGGAGGAGGAGGTGGAGGCGGAGGAGGAGGAGGAGGGGAGTGGAGGAGAAGGGGCAGGAGGAGGAGGAGGAGGAGGAGGAGGGGAGGGGGAAGTGGAGAGCAGGAGGAGGCGGAGGAGGAGGAGGAGGAGGAGTTCAGAGGAAATGAGTAGATGAGCAGAGGAGAAGTGGAAGAGTGCAGGAAACTATGCGGACGTGGTGGCAATGGTGAGAGGAGGTGGGAAAGAGGAGGATAATGCGGAGGTGGGTGAGAAGGAGAAGACGGAAAGGAGAGGTCAGGCGAAGGCCGAAGAGAAGGAGGAGGACGGAGCAGAGGGGGCATAATGAGGAATGTAAGCGGTGTGGGGGAAGAGGAGGCGCAGGAAGTGCGGCAGGGCGAGAGAGGGATGATGATACTGATGATGGTGCAGAAGAAAAAGAAGAAGGTGATGACGATGCTGATGATGTTGATGGTGATGCTGATGATGCTGATGCTGCTGATGATAATGCTGATGCTGGTGCTGATGCTGATGCGTCTGCTGATCATTATGCTGCGGATGACGATGATGACGGTCATGATTATGTTGATGATGGTGTTGATGATGTTGATGATGAAGCTGATGATGAGTATGATGCGGTTGTAGTGGTGATGATGACGATGATGGCACTGATGCTAGCAATGCTGCTTCTGGTGGTGATGATGATGACGAGGTGGCGGAGGAGGAGGAGGAGGAGGAGGAGGAAAAGGAGACGGAGAAGGAACACAGGGGGACGAGCAGGAACATGGAGGCGGTGGATCACGAAGCTCGCTATAGGCTAAACGGGTACCTCAACCTATCTTCAGGGATGGGGCGGTCGTCGGCGAAGTCTTGGAGATTGTGGGGCAGCTTGCGGGAAAGCGCGTGCTGCTGGACCCAGCAGTTGGACGACACAGGGACACATCCTCGACGCAAACGCAATGGCCGAAGTTTCTTGCAAGCAGTTGTGGTGGAGCTCGTCCGTGTGGGTGGTGCCAGCAGCCGTGGTGGAGCAAGAGTCCACGGGGAGGATCTGCAGCCAAATAAATGCCCAAGTCTGAGGTCTCGGCCATGCCTTGAACAGCCCTGGGGTTGACGCTCACCAGTACAGTGGAGGCCCATGCCAAGAAACACCCTGCTCGCCCCTAGGGTGCCCTGGGTTTCTCTGGTTTCGATGGTTTTGCGATGGAGCGCGGGACGTTCCCACACCAACAATCAAGGGACGTCACTGGGGTCTCAGGGCTGGGTTTCTCGTGGAGGGTTCCTTGTGGACTGGCCTCCGCTTCAGGTGTGTCATCTGAATCTCAGACGGGCATCCCCGCGTGCCCAGACAGCCGCCCCGGCTCCGCGCTCCAGCGGATGGCAGGGGCGCCGACGGGCGGCTCGGCGCACGGAGGCGCGCGGTCCTCGCAGGCTTGAGCATCGGATCCTGGGTGCTGTCCGCCGATCCCACACGGGTGGCGGTGAGCGTGGAGGCGAGGAGGCTGTCGTCATCGTCTTCCTCGTCCTCATCCTGCTCCTCGAACTCCATAAAAGCCCCTGCCCAGTCCTGCTCCTCTTCCACTGGATGCCGCCACTCTCCTTGTCCACCCCTTCCTTCTCCTCCTCCTCTTCTTCTTGTTCTTCTTCTTCTTCTTCTTCTTACCATGTCTCTTATTACTTACGCAGGACGAACGATTTTCCTCTTGACGTCGAAGAGGACCACCCCCGTCCCCCGTAGAATCTTAACACGGGGGGGGCCTGCGGTCGACGGATCCCATTCTTGTCGGCTCCCGGAACGAATTTGATATCATACATTCAAAACGGGGTAGAACTGGAATCCGCAGTAAAAAATAGGGTCCGACGCAGATCCCGAAAATCATAAATGGGATCCGCGCGCACGGAAATGGGATCCGCCGCGATTTTACGAATACGGTAAGGTTGGAAATCGGATCCGTGCGACCCTCATTGGGTTCGCCGCTATGATTTCCCAGAGGGCCCGTGCACCGCGTGGGACCGTGAGGTTCAGCGCCAAGAGGAAAACTCTTTCGGCCTGGGGATGGGCATTTTTGGCATCCGACATGTCCTTCCCCGCATGTGGCTCATCTCTTTTCTACGGCTTCCGTTCGAGACTTGCTCACATGCTCTTGAGGATTGCCGTTCGAGACTTCCTCGCATGCGCTCGGCGCTTCCGACGTTGCTTCAGCCTTGGGCCACGCAGCATCCAGGCGGCCAGGATACACACGTCCTCGTCGCACGTTTCTTTTCGGGGTTCTCACCGTCGCAGGCCTTCCTTATCCAGTGATTGGAGCAGAAGCCACCAGCGTGAAAGGAGGCTGCCCTCCACTCCGCCGCGCTTTGAGCGGAAGCGGCCTTTTTGAAAAGACGCTGCCATCCAGTCCGCCGTGGTTGGGCGGGGGCCACCGTTTTGAATAGATACCGCCTTCCACTCCACCATGCTGTTGGGCGGCCGCAACCGTTTTGAAAATATGATGCCCTCCATCCGTGCTCGGCCAGACGCGGCACCGAACGCCGCGCGGCGTGCCACCGCGCGGTGGGAACTTCAGGGGCCCGTTGGGTCGGGAGACGCAGGGCGGCGGCGCAATTACGCAGGACGAAAGATTTTCTTCTTGATGTCGAAGAGGCCACCCCCGTCCCCCGTAGAATCTTAACACGGGGGGGCCTGCTGGCGAGGACGGATCCCATTCTTGTTAGTTCCCGGAGCGGATTTAATATTATAAATTCAAAACGGGGTAGAAATGGGATCCGCGGTAAAAAATAGGGTCCGCCGCGGATCCCGAAAATTAGAAACGGGATCCGCGCGCAGGGAAATGGGATCCGCCGCGATTTTACGATTACAGTAAGGTTGGAAATCGGACCCGTGCGACCCTCATTGGGTTCGCCGCTATGGTTTCCCAGAGGGCCCGTGAACCGCGTGGGACCGTGAGGCTCAGCGCCAAGAGGAACAAGCTTTCGGCCTGGGGATGTATTTGTCTTCTTCTTTTCCTTCTTTCTCTTATTCTTCTTCTTCTTCTTTGCACTCCCATTCCTTTCCCATTTCCTCCTCCTCTTCTTCCTCCTCCTCGAGACGCCCTTTTTAGCTTGTGCGCGATCGACCTGGCGGACGTGCTCAGGTGCTGGCCCCAGCACGACTCGTTCCGCATGAGAGTGCCGATGTACGAGAACAGCCGCAGGCACGTCATTTGGGACCACCGCTTCAGGAGGCGTGCCTCGTCTCTTCTCCAGTGGGCAGTAGGAGGAGGAACGGGGGGGTGAGGGCAAGGGCAAGACGGGAAGAAGAGGGGGGAGAGAGAGAGAGAGAGAGAACAAAAAAAGAGAAGGAGGGGCAAGAGGAGGAGGATGCGCCCGCCTGGCTGGAGGGGCGGCGGGGAAGTGTGGCGTGGCGCCGCGGAGCGCCACCGGGAGAGGCCCTCCCGCGGCAGAGGAGGGGGAGGAGGAGGAGGAGGAGGAGGAGGAGGAGGAGGAGGAGGAGGAGGAGGAGGAGGAGGAGGAGGAGGAGGAGGAGGAGGAGGGGATGATGAGGACAGGAGGGCAGGCGCAGGGCACGGGGAAGAGGGAGGGATTTGGGGGCGCGCGGGGAGAGGAGCAGGAGGAGGGGGAGGGGGGGGAGGAGGAGGAGGAGGAGGAGGAGGAGGAGGAGGAGGGGAGGAGGAGGAAGGAGGAGGAGGAGGAGGAGGAGGAGGAGGAGGATGGCACAGGGAGGGCAGGCGCAGGGGCACGGGGAGGGAGGGATTGGGGGCGTGCGGGGAGAGGAGCAGGAGGAGGGGGAGAAGGAGGGGGAGGAGGAGGAGGAGGAGGAGGAGGAGGAGGAGGAGGAGGAGGAGGAGGAGGAAGGGGAAGGTGGAGGGAGGAGGAGGAGGAGGGGAGGAGGGGGAGGGGAGGAGGAGGAGGAGGAGGAGGAGGAGGAGGGAGGAGGAGGGGGAGGAGGGGGGGATAGAGAGAGGGAGAGGAAAACCGTCATCTTCATCGCGTTCTGCGATGCATCGGGCTGACATCGCATATCGGGGCCAGCATCGATGTCGCGGCCAAGCAGCTTGGACAACACAAGTGAAGCAGGGGACAATGTGAACATGGAATGGCTCCTCCCACGCACTCCTCTACTTTCCCCTTGCTTTTCTTACTTCTCCTCCTGCTGCCTCTCTCCCTCTTGGAAGGGCGGATGCTGCTGCCAAAGCTGCTTCTCCTCCGCTTCCTCCTCCCCCTCCTGCCAGTGCAGCTCTCGCTGTGAGCTCCCGGAGGGCTCGCATTGAAAGTCGTCTAGTTTCGAAGGGACCTTCTCAGAGTACGGTCTGGCTTCTTGTGGTAAGCAGTTGTCAGCATAGACAGTGGCTACATGAGAATCTTCTCTGCTCTGCTCCCCCACTCCTCTTCATCACCCTCTCCTCCCTCCTCCACTCTCCCTCCTCCTCCTCCTCCTCCTCCTCCTCTTCCTCCTCGTCCTCCTCGTCCTCCTCGTCCTCCTCCTCCTCCTCCTCCTCCTCCTCCTTCTCCTTCCCCTCCTCCTCATCCTCCTCCTCCTTTCCCTCCTCCTCATCCTCCCTTTCCTCGTCCTCTCTTCCATTGCTGGCCAGTGTCGCTTCTCCCCCCCCGGAGGTGGATGGTGATGTGGTACCGCCACGGCATCCAGGTCTTCCGCACTTTCAGCGCGAGGGGCAGGAGCCGCATCATTTTTTTTTGTTGCCCGGGGCCGGGCAGCTAAGGAAATCGACTTCCGAGGCAAAGCCGACCCACAGAGGCAGTCGGGGAACAAGCAACGACATAAACATTGATCTCGGAGGTCCGCGCGGATATGTTGCATCGGCTCTGGACCTCGGGTTGACCCAACAGTGGGTCCAGCGACAAGGGGGTGGTGCAATAGATTTGGTGCAATAGGTTCGTGGAGTTGTAATACATTTGTGGCGTACGATACATTTCGGGGCGCAGATGCACTGTTGTATTTTCGCGTACGATGCCTTACGTGCGATACAGTGCAATACAATTCTCCGGCGCAGTACACTCGCAATACAATGTGCCCCAACTCTTTTGCACCACCTCCCTTCAGCCGGACCCTCTTTTGGGCCAACCCGAAACTGCTGCCTCGGCTCCGGACCCCCCCTCCCTGGTGCGCGGAGCGTGCCGGGGGCGGCGCCAGAGGCGCCGCCAGGGAGCTCCAGCGGCCGATCCACGCAGCCCGCGCGGATCTCCGAGCTGTGATGCTTTGTGCCATGCGTTGTCCCCCTAGTCTTGAGTCGGGCCTGTCCCTCTACAGGGGGAGCATTCCAAAATGGTGAACTCTGGGGGCGATGTTTCTGTTACTTTTGGCTATTAGGGGCCATGTTTTGAGTATTCTTTATTTTTCGTCCAAGATCCCCCTGTAGGAGGACAGGCCCGACCTCAGAGCCCCGAATCATCAGGGGTAACTCGGGTCAGGGATAACTCGGGTTCGTTTTTCGGGAATCCGAACCCGACTTACCCCGGACCCGACTTACCCCGGATAGTTCGGGCGTCCAGAGCCCCGAATCATCAGGGGTAACTCGGGTCAGGGCTAACTCGGGTTCGTTTTTCGGGAATCCAAACCCGACTTACCCCGGACCCGAGTTACCCAACGACCTGACCCTTGTCAGGAGGCTGACAGCAAGTGGAGGCAGCCTCCACCCCCGAGCCGAGTTCCTGGGGAGCCGGGCCTCCAGCCAAGAGCGGCCCGCCCGAGGAAGTTCGAGCAGGGCCGGGCCTACGCCATCCTCTTCTACAAGTCCCTGAAGAACGCCGGGAAGCTAGGCCCGTGGTGCCCGCGCCCCCCTCACACGGGGCGGGGCGCCCTCACAGCCATGGATCATCACCACCCACCAAACCACCCCAACCCAACCCGAAGGCTCAGATTTACCCTCGATTTCTAGTGGGGGGGGTCGGGAAACATAGAAAAAACACGCGTGGAACCCTTACCCCCCCCCAACCCGAAATTCGGGTCTTCGGGTTGGGTTGGGGTGGTCTGGTAGGTAGTCAGATCAGGTTCCTCGGACGCAAGGAGCCACCGGTGCCGGCGGATGTCTGGGCACGGTGCCCTTCCTGCCTGCCTCTGGAGGGTCTGTTCGGCTCCCCAGGCCCTCACACTTCCAAGTCGGGCCCGTCCCTCTACAGGAGGAATGTTCAAAATTAGTGATAGACTTGTCTGGGGACGAATCTTGCACTATTTTTTCTATTTTGGGGCATTGTTTGATTATTTTTTCGCCGGAAATCCGCCAGTAGGGGGACACGCCCGACCTAACCTTCGACCAAGACCTCCGACGCCTCGAGGCTTTTCCACAGCGTGGGCCCCAGGAGCTCCCGGCCGCACCCCCTGGAGTTGCCTTCTTCCCGCCGCGGGCCGCCGACGCGGATGGCCCCTGGGGCAGCGACCAGCCCCCGGGGCGCGGAGATCGTGGGAAACAAGACGTCCGTCAAACTTTTTGCTTCGCAGCGCCTGGAGGGTGAGGAGGAGGAGGAGGAGGAGGAGGAGGAGGAGGAGGAGGAGGGGAGAGGAGGGGGGGAGGAGGAGGAGGAGGAGGAGGAGGATGATGATGAGGAGGAGGAGGAGGAGGAGGAGGAGGAAGAGGAGGAGGAGGAGGAGGAGGAGGAGGGGGTGGAGGGGGAGAGGGCAGGGGAGGGAGGA